CTCCCATTGAAGATTCTTTCAGGGTTTGCAATTTTATGAATCATGTCAGGCATCAGTGGCACAAAGTCATAACTTTATATGTGGAGGAATGCAGATGGTGATCACCCCTGTTGACTGATAAAGTGAGACAGAAAATGATCTTCGCCCTCTGTGCTATCCCCCCAAATCTGATGTTTTCAGGTCTTTAGTGAGGCCCAGTTATAGTAACAGTCTGAGCCTAACAAAATAGTTCAAACATCAGCAGATACACTTTAATATGGAAACTTACCAACAGAAGAATGCTTTCATAAAAAGGACATAATATAAAATACTGGGATGAGAGAGCAACGTCACAGAGATCCACATGATGGACTTATCATGCATTCTCCCACTCTGAGCTGCTGTGCTATTCATAGGCTCCAGCTGTCTTCCCAGATTCCCTTTGAGAATGGGAAACTACACACATAAGCTCTGCTGGAGATGAGACAATCTTACTCAACGGATAATGGAGTCACACTATAATTTTGGTGTTTGGTGACTCTTCTGTGCCCAAACTTTGAGGTTCGACATGCTCACTGATAATCTATTTACCCAGAGGTGGTGTGTCAACAGTCACATGCCTTCCGCAATGTCTGCTGAGGCAAATATAGGATCCTGAGGTGACATTGTAGAGTGTCTCGGCTTTGTGTGTTTATGTAGTCAACAGAAAGCTACAGTATGGTTTGGCGCAGGATGTGATTAAGTGAAGCACAGCTTAGTCAGAGAGCTATTTAAAGACTTTAGCTTTAATTGGGTTGAATTCAGAGTATCCCTTTAAACACAATAAGGCTGGGAGTCACACACACATGAGTGTACAGCACAGGAGGATAAATAATGACACAGGCAAAAATACGCTCCAGGATCAACCCCCCCACCCCACCCCCACCCCCCATTGTAAACTGAGAAGAGCGCAGACACGCTGGGCAACAAAGACACAGTAAATCATGCTGGAACAATAAGTACCAGAACAGACAGATATCACTATATTCATCACAAGCTAGAGGATGATGTTTGTCTCTTCTAAAAATATTCATGGGTTGTGCAGTATTAGTTTGGTAATTTCAACAAAGAATAAAGGGACAAGCTGGTAACAAGAGAAGAATCAGAAAGGGATCATGTAGTTGTTTTGGCCAGGATATGGGTAGATACGGCTTACTGGTTTGGTACACCTAGCTCCGTCCACACTGGCCCTGTGTGTGCACTCATTGCTGTCAGTCTTGCAGGCACTGCAGTGGCAGCTGAGAGCCACGGGGTAGGTGAAGATGGGATTGGCGTCGACCGGACAGCCGGGCAGTATGGCTGTGCGGTATTCCACCTTGTCATAGCTACAGCCTCTCTGGATAAGGAAGCGTGGGCCGAGTATATCCCTCATGTTGCTGTCCTGTTCACCACACACAGACACATGAATGAACTTGACAATGTAGAGTCTTTCAATAAAAAAACGTTACATTTAAGGCTCCAAAGGGGCGCACTTGGTTAGACGCTTCTGTGCAACAACTTTAAACCAATGTCCAATTCATCAGGTTTCTTTAAGTGCGGTAACCCATTTATTTTTCACATGTGCTCACCTTCATACAGGCAAAACATTGTCTGTCCATAATTCATCTCAGGTAGGTTTCCACTGAACCATTTCAGAGTCAATCACAGGTTAGTGTCCGTTCAATAGTTCAGGGTTCAAGTTTCCTCTCATCAATTCCAGTTTCAACATGCTACAAAGACAGTCAAAAACTGTTTGCTTCCCTCGTCACACACCTGATCCTCATTACCTGGAGAATGCTCGTGATTACTCAACCCTGTGTTCAGTTAACAAAGCATGTGTATATTTATATTTACCTTGTTTAGATAAGGATGGAATAGACAAATAATACTATATTATGGCTCAAACAGACAACACAGAACATTTTAGAGTTGGTTTTCAACTGAAATGAGAAAAAAAAATGGGTCCAAAAATAGTTTAATTTTTATTAATTCAAATGTACAGTATGAGCTTTATTGCGGTTTGCAGAGATCCACAGATTTTGAATGAGAGTGATACCACTATAAAAAATTAATTATCTGTTTCTGTTTTTGTAGTTAGAGGTAATTGTACTTTTAAGGGTCTTTGGTTAGTGTTTGTAGGCTGTAAATATTACTGTATAATACATGCACTCTTGCTCGCTCTTGTTTTTTTTAATCTAGACAACATTTTTGTGAATATATATTTTAAATATTATCTGCGTAGTGTCTGGGCCCCTACTCACAAGCTTCAGATACCTTATCAGTGAGACTTAACTGATGTCATAATATATTTTAAGTGTACAGACACATCATTGTTGTGGTAAATGTTATGATGATTTTAATGGAAAGATTTTTTAGTCATAAATAGTTTAAAAAAATATTATGATTCAGTCATGAATCAGTCATGATTTTGCATGTTAACTGTGCTTGTAATTGTAATACTAACAATATAATGTCTTTCTTCTATGTTACAATTTCTATTTGATTTTATTATGTTGCTTTCTTTTATTAATTTTTGTTTGTTCTATATTAACACTAACACTTTGGTTATGATAATTTTGCTTTTTAACTTTTTATTTAGTGTTCAATTTTTTCAGTTAACAGAACATTCTCTGACATAGGACCTCTTAAAAATTATGTTAAAAAAACAAAAAACAAAGCAAAACGATACAATAAGAGGCAAATAATATACTTAAGTATATAATAATGAGAATATATGTACAACATATATTATATAGCACTGAACTAAGTATTACAAAGAAGGGCTGCATCTACTCCAGAGCAGGTTCAGTTACAGAGGAAAAAGAATTTGTTTTTTAGAGAATTTGTATTGGCCACGGTAAAAACTTTTGCATCACTTCTTTTTCTGTGTTTTTCCACCTGAATGAATGACAATCTGGGACATACATACCCTTGAGTAGCAGAAGCCCATGCAGATGGTCGTGTTGATGGCCACACAGAAGTCGCACTCTGGCCTCTCCACATACAGGGTGAAGTCAGTGGGTAAACACATGGGAACAGCTGGGCTGAACATCAGGAAAAGGAGCCAGCAGGAGAACACTGCACTTTCCATGTTGAGCAATGGTATTTTTCCCCAGTCAATTTTGGACCTGCATGGGAGGGAAAGATAAAGACACAAACTGACAACCAGATAACAGAGAGGGTGAAAAGTTTAGTATCTTAAATATAATTTCTTCCCCTCTGCGTGTGTGAATCACCTGCTCTAGAGACCCTGAGGCACCTGCAGGCCTGCTGATGCTGTGAGTCTGAACATCCCCCTGAGCAGTATTTATACAAACATTATGTAATCCGGCTGTATCCAAAGTAGCAGCTATCTTCTATCTGTGACGACAAGACCTGAACTTTTAGTCCATTTAGTGGATGACATGAATTAATGATTTCCCTCATGAACAAAGTTAATACACTAACCAAGGAAATCTACACAATGGATTCTGCACCAGCAGACACCCCGTGTGCAACTCAGCATGTCATTCTTTCCAAAGTGGTCCAAAACTGTGTCCACTGTTCACAAAATGCCTAAAAGCTTCATTTCTGCTGGAAAGAATGCATAAAGAAGAAAGAAAAAAAAGGAAAGAACGCATATTTTACAAAGAGCCACTTAATTTTGACCTGAGTTTAACTTATCTGTCTTCCATTTGGCTAAAAATTAACTGACGAAAACACACTTCTTCTTCTTCTCTGACTAACTTCAGAGCCCTTCATGTGCGTGTCAAAATGATGATTCGTGCATTGTTGGTGACAAAAATCTACACCAGTCGGCAATGTGAACATTAAATGTTTACAAGCTGTCACAGTCCAAACATGTCCTGAACAAGGGTGGAAAACATTCAGAGCAGGTTTATCTAATCAGCTCTCAAAGTGAGTAAATTAAAAACTGCTGTTGTGGACATTAGCATTCATTTCTAAACATCAAATTCTGAAGATAGAGACTTCAAACTTCTGACAAGGCAGTACTTTGACTTGAGGAGTGAGGAGTATCATTCCCTCTGCCAACCCTGCCAGACTGCAGCTATTTCCTTGTCTATAGTTATGTTTGATTGTCGAGGGGAGTCAAAGTCTCTGATAGATTTAGCCATGTGGCTGTTTTTCATAATATCTTCATTTATAGTTCAGTGGGTTTCTTGGCATTCCTCTTTGTGTCATGAATTGGATTATCTCACAAAAACATAAGGCAGATGGATTTTTTTTCCCATTTCAATCACTACTTCAGATTCAGATTACTTTATTAATCCCCGGGGGGAAATTGTTTTTGTTCCAATGCTCCGTGCAAAGTAGAAATATAAATACAGCATGAATGGAAACATTCATACATACATAAAACATTCTTACTGAATTTTACCCTTCATCTTGTAACAGTTACCTTTTTACAATAAACACTGTCAATCACTGGTGATGAGTTAATCTGTCAGTGAATAGGAATGATAACTGTCAGTTATTGTTCCTTTTAGCAGCTCATTCCTTCTCCGCAGCTCTCACTCACCTTTACAATAATTAACAGTATGAGCCATTTTACATTAACTTTCCAAGATTTGACCAGAACTCCTGATCTCACCAAGAGTGACTTGAACAAAATCATCCTTAAAATCCAAATATATTAGTTTACTAATACAAGTCATGACACTTAGTATCTGCTAGCGTACAGGTCCAACAGCTAACGCCTACTTTTCCTTCTTATCTGCAATATTTTTACAAAAGTTGTCACATTTGTGAGTTTTTGAAATCACACGACCCCAAAGTGACCCAATCATTAAGGTTTAACCTGCCCTGCCTCCTTAAATTATTTACATAATCAACACTACCGAGTAACCTGGAATTGTATAAAGACCACTCCTGGATGTGTCACCTCATTTCATTGGGAATGAAGACGTCTTGACAACAGGAAGTCTCTTGTTTGTCATCAGAACAAACCACTGGATCATCACTTTTTACTATCACTGAAATTATGGCTGTCCTCAATGCTGTGTGTCCTTGATGGATTATTAACTAACGTGAGCTGATCTTTATAGTCTGCCGAAAGCATCGGAGTGGTTCATACACTCTGAGATTTGCAGTGGCACTGGTTAAACTTTCTCATTCTCCTATCAGTCGGAGGGAAACTTATAGCTGATAGCTGGCTTGGCCGAGCGGAAAGTAACAGAGGACTAAAACAGTGGGCTCTCTGGATTTTTCTATTCTTTGTTGAAGGTTTGAAGAGAAACTTTTTATACGACAGCAGCTGATTTAAATATGCCTCACAGTTGACGGTCTGCATTTTTCTTGCTGTCTTTGTTGTTAATATAGGCTCTTGGTTTATGTATAACTAAAGTTGAGGAGAATTTAAGAATAAATTAGAGGGAAGAGCAAGGTTGCACAATATAGAAATCCCTCTGGATCTAAGCATTCTTAACGACAGTTTAGAAAAAAGTGTCAGCTCCTTCTGCTGAACTAACCATGGTTGGTACAGGTGGCCCTGTGGCCACTTTCTCTGTGTGGGATTATGTTGTGTTTGCTGCAACAATTTTGGGGGCAGCCGGCATCGGCCTTTTCCAAGCCATTCGAAGCCGTAAGGAGACCAGCAGCGCTGAATTCTTGCTGGGTGGACGGCAAATGACAGCTGTGCCGGTTGCCATGTCGCTCACTGCCAGCTTCATGTCTGGCATCACAGTCATTGGCACACCGACTGAGGCCTACCGGTTTGGAGCCGCCTTCTGGATCTTTGCCTTCGCCTATACCATCATGTCTACCGTCACTGCTGAGATCTTTGTCCCGCTTTTCTACAGACTGGGAATCACCAGCGCCTATGAGGTGAGGAAAATGTCACAGGCTGTAAATCAGGGGTGTCAAATTCATTTTGGTTCATGGACCACATACAGCCCTATTTGATTTAATGTGGGCCAGACCTGTAAAACTGTGTAAAAACCTGAAAGTAACAACACCTTCAAATCTACCCTTTTTAGTGTGAAGAAGAATACATTTTGCATCATGCATTTTTCCACACTCACTCAGTCCTCTACTCAGTGTCATTACATTTGAATATTTCTCCATGCCTTACACTACAGTGTAGTAATGCTTGCATCACCACCACAAAGTACAATGAAAGCATTTGAGGAAGGAGGTGAAGTTATTGACTAAATCTAACGTTTTGGCAGTGCCTTTACGGTTCCATCAATACTGATTAAAGTCTGATACAGATTCTTTTGTACTGAAGCTGCTGATTGACGATATTTTGCACAATATTCAGTATCTTTAAACAAGACCACAACAGGTATTCATTGTTTTTTCAAAGAGCTGTAATCTGGTGAGGGTGGAAAAGCCCCTGAAGCAGCATTTAACATGAAGTAGGATACATAAGTGCATCAATATTAGGTGTGCAAAGCCATCCAGTGGGTCACAGTGGACTCTTTGGAAGGTCGGTTCTGGCCCTCAGGCCCTGAGTTTGACACCCCTGCTGTAAATGATTATAATGGTTATGGTTGATCATAAGGGCTGACACGTGCAGCACCAAACAACTTAAGGTGTAAAGATCAATACAGCAAGCATGCTTCATTGATAGGCTACAGAAATACAAGACTTTAAAAGTTAATGTGGTTAATGATTCATCAACCATGGTAGGCAACGCAGTTGATTTATTTAAGTGATCAGGGGTGCATGGCTATCAAAGGCTGCACAGAATTTAAGTGCTATAAAAGTACTTCCTTCCCAAAAACACCTTTAATAGTTCGTTAAGCTGGATGTTAATCACTGTGTCATTTCAAATCATTTTAATGATGTCTGACTTTGGAGGTTTTCCTTTTTATTTCTAGTACCTGGAGTTGCGCTTCAACCGGCTCATCAGGATAATCGGGACATCAATGTACATTGTACAGACGGTAAATAAAACATGGCTTAATTTTCATAAAAAAGAATTATTCAATGACTTGTTATATTTAGATAATTAAAAACAAAAGTGCCAAACCACGATGAATGGGAAATCATTCCTAATCATCATGGTAAATGTAGCATAGTAAAAAGCAGCTGTCTTTTTCCTTTTTGACTTTATGTAAAATTGATTGATACCAATTACATATGAATCATATGCTTGTTGTTGCGTTTCCACCTAATCAACTAATGGTGGGCTCTCTTCTCAGGCCCTGTACACCGGGTTGGTCATCTACGCTCCAGCTCTAGCACTAAATCAAAGTAAGTGTATCTGTGGGCTCTTCTTGGAACAGTTATGAATAAAAAGTACTTTATGATGCGACTGTTTTCCAAAGGTACCTGTGTTAGTGTTGATTTGACCTGATAACAGAGTTTATATACTACTGACAGTAGCCAAGGGATATATTTGTGTTTCTCTCTGTCTTTTGTTTATGTCAAACACAGACTGAACCTAAAACAAAAGAGGTGACCACGTGTGTTTTTGTTTTAAACAAAGGGAACATTCACTGCTAGTGCCGTGTTGAAATAAATGGCTAAACACACCATTTCAGAGACTTGGCTTGAAGTAACTTAAACTGTCATGTTATGTCTAAAATAGGTTTATTCTGAATCATAATGGAGCTTTTTTGTCATTACTCAGTCACAGGACTTAATCTATGGGGAGTGCTGGTGGCTACAGGAGCAGTGTGCATCCTCTACTGCACGTTGGTTGGTATTGTGCATTTCAAGACCTTTTATGTACTGTATTGAAGTGATGATCTGCGTACCAAACAATAATATAAATGTTAAACTCACAGCTGTCCGGTTCATTGTGGTTTTATACTCTGGTGTCATCATCGTCCTGTTCCCTTGTCTCAAAGTCAGTGGGTTATTGGTTAGATACCCGACATAAGGTCTATGGTTAACACAAGTTGTAAGACTGCCAGGTTTTGTTCTACGACATAAAATACGTGAGTAAATGCCCCACTCGTAAATGTTGAAGCTTTTACAGTAGGCATCTTAAAAAGGTGGTTGCCAACAAGTGGCTGAATGAGACTGTGGAACGTGAGCACACCAGATATGGCTTTACAGCCTTGTTGTGGTGGTGATGATGAAGTCACGTGGTCTTTGTGTAGTTAGTTTATAGCCCAACATTAGATGTTTCTGTAGCTCTGGCTACTGAATTTACACATCTAAAATCATATAACTGGTGTTCTTTTGTGAAGATTACCCTACTGAACAAAACTTACAAGTATCATAAACTTCTGACTGCCACAGATTTTATTTCCTGCAATAATCAGAAATCCAATAGAAAAATCCCATTGGATTTTTAACAAGGGAACAAGGGTGATATTAACTTCCTGGTTAGCCTACAAAGAATGTCATCCGTGCACCACTCTATAAAACTGTCCGATCTACTTGTGATGCAAGTTCTCTTCATGATAACGTATAATTTTAACATCACAGTAAGCCTCGACTGGAACTAAATTGGAAAGACTTTAAAGTAGTGCTGGGAAATGATAAGCTGAATCAACATGGGTTTTGTTTCAGGGCGGACTGAAAGCAGTAATCTGGACAGACGTGCTGCAGATGGTGATCATGCTGGCAGGTTTTGTGGCTGTTATAGCTAGAGGAGCCGTACTGCAGGGAGGCCTGACAAAGATTTGGGAGGATGCCCGCCAAGGAGGGAGACTAGAGGCGTTTGAGTACGTACTCAAGCAGTGTCAGATAGCATTTGTTGTGAATTTGTTTAAACCAACTGTGATAACAGATAGATCAACTTTCCTATAATTGTTTCTTGTACCTATTGCTCTAGTATCCCAGAAAGTTCACTGGGAACTGTTCTGCATGCAATAATCAAGGAAACTGACTATCAGTGATACCTGCTTTCTGCCTCAAACGTGTCATCTTACATAATCAGATGTTTGTACTGTTGATGGCCCGTGACATTACATTCAGTATTCTTTGACGTCTTGTTGACTTTTGTCACAGTTTTGACCCAGATCCTCTGAAGCGTCACACTTTCTGGACTATCGTGGTTGGTGGCAGCATCATGTGGGTGTCCATCTACGCAATTAACCAGTCCCAGGTGCAACGCTACATCTCCTGCAAAACCTTGGGACATGCCAAGATGTGAGCGTTCCTGCAATGCAATGCAAACAGGATATTATAAGCTGTGAGCCAAGGTTCATGCACTGACAAGTCTTCTTTCACTTCTCAGGTCTTTGTATGTGAACATGGTTGGCTTGTGGGTGACTGTGAGCCTGGCTGTGTTTTCTGGCCTCACCATGTTCTCCATTTATAAAAACTGTGACCCATATACAAACAGCGATATAGGCACACATGACCAGGTAACTGCAGTTGTATCTGTCTCTTTACATTTCAACACATTGAAGGAATGCTGTTTGTTGTGTAACAAAGCAGCACTGTTAACGGTAAATGGATTGTGTCTGTGAACCAGCTGCTGCCATACCTCGTGATGGATATTCTGGCAGACTACCCAGGAATCCCTGGCTTGTTTGTGGCTGCTGCATACAGTGGCACCCTCAGGTGAGGCCTGGGGCAAACAAGGAAAAATGCATCATTTTAAGTTAGAAATGCTGTGTTGATAAGGAAATAATCTTGTAGATAAGGTGCAAAGGTGAGGAAAGAATGAGCTGTCCATACCTGGGTTATGTTTCTTCCTGGGAAAAATCCATGTCACTGTCTCACCAACGACTGAACAACTTATTGTTTACATTTCAAGTCATTACAATACGTGATGCAGGACATTACCACCTGCATGCTACCTGAGACTTATCTTATCTATATTCCAATCATTTCAAGTCTTCCTGTTCTGTCCAGTGACTAAGAGCTTACTGTTGCATATTTTTCAGCACGGTGTCTTCCAGCATTAATGCCCTGGTTGCTGTCACTGTGGAAGACTTTATTCTCCCAGTGTTCAAAAACCTCACAGAGAGACAAGTGACCTGGATGAACATGGGCCTGAGTAAGTTGTGTAAAAACTACTTGCACACAGCGTGATGAAATAAAATCATAAAATACCGCAGTAATCATCAAACGGTATGACACAAAGAAGCTCAAAAGATACCAGTAGACACCAAGATAACCATTATCATGTTATTCTTAGGTCATTTTAAGTGTTTCCAGTTCCACTGTGTGAGTAACGACATGATGAGAAATGTGCTAAAAAATAGATATCCTGATAGCGGATGAAATGAAATCATATTTTGGGAAGAGTTTGTATGTACAAGCAGACTTCACAGGGCGTGTTGTACAAGCTGCGGTTACAATAATCTACAGTGTTTCATTAGATAGATTTACTGTGGGAACACCTCCACAGGCTGGAACACGTAGGTCCTGTGAACTTCTTTTGGGAGGATAAGATAAAGGGTGTGGCTCCATTCAGCTGTCAAACAGGATCACAGTGTTCTTGTTCACTGTTATAGTCTTTAAACAGAGCTGATGTGACTTTGTAAAACCGCATGGAACGCAATTTAATACCTGTTTCACAACCAAGTGTGAAAGTAGGATATGGTGATATATAAATAAATAAATTTAAGGATGCATCGATTTATCACTTAAAGGATTAATTTAAGGTTTTGCTAAAACTGACACTTGCCTGTTATGACATGATAAGCTTCCTACTGCAGCCACCAGTGGTGACAGTACTTGCTATAAGTCTGGTGGTGCTGACTGAAATGTCACAAAAAATGGACAGATCAGTCCCTGTCACATCAGTCCTATTTTTATTTATTGTATGTGTAACATCTAACAGCCTTCAAACAGATAAAAAGATATTTTTTTAAACTAACATTAGTTTTTAAAACTGAAACTCACTGCTTTTTAAGACGTTCAAGATGTGCAGATACTGTGGAAAAGCATGACAAAACTTTAATTAAATATATGTAAAAGCACTAATTTCCTATTAAAATCAGACCTCAGTTACCACTATGACTAAATTCTGCTGAGAACATTTAAATATGTCGCAGGTGTATTCTTTGGTGCCCTGTGTATTGCAATGGCTGGGGTTGCTTCAGTGATGGGCGGCGTTTTGCAGGTAAAAACCACACACCAACACCACTGCAGCCATTTGTTGCTCTACTGCACCACCAAGAGCTGAATATTAAGAACTACAAGCCTCCTGTTTCTACTTTCAGGCAGCCCTGTCTGTATTCGGCATGATCAGCGGGCCTCTTCTTGGTCTTTACCTTTTAGGCATGCTATTCCGCACATCTAATTCAATAGTGAGTATGTTCTTTTTACTGGAACATTCGCCTGCACAACTGCACCCTCTGACAACACAAAGAAATCTGCCTCATAAAACAAATGTGACACATACACAAAGTATTTGACTGCAGCATGTCATATTTACTTTGCAGGGAGGACTTGGGGGAATGATCATTGGTCTGGTGCTGACTCTGTGGGTGGGGATTGGAGGCCAGATTTACCCACCCACAGCTGACAAGACAAATCCTCTACCGCTCAGCACCGTGGGGTGCAGCATTAAGGACCAAAACTTCACAACGACAGCTCCTTGGACCAGTCCGGTGACTCTGACCGAGCAGCCTGAGTGAGTCACGCAAACGAAGGTCCATCTGCTGTCACTCAAGCATGTGATGTGGTCACTGTAAAACTCAATAGCATTTTAATGTGGCAAACGAGTACAAAAATGACTCAATGCTTCAACGAAAAGTAAAACATTGTCAGAGCAGATTTTACTGTCACTACGCTAAGACTGCTCAGAGAGGGGATGCTCCCATGTGAATGCTGTAATGCTTTATTACTATACCCAAAATGTAACTTTATCAAATATGCTACACTCACTGCTTTTCTGGACAACATTTCAGAAATAGGTTTTTGTGTAGGCCTATGAAGAACCAAAGACACTCAGGGTAGATGTGTAGACACTTGACAACACTTGAAAGAGTCTGTTTATAACTGGTATTAACATGTCGTGTGACCCCATCACAAGTAGACAGCACTAAATACAAGTGTAAACGACCACCAAGACGCATTGTGATCCAATCACTCAAACCACTTACTGGGGATGTCTGAGACACATTTTGAAGTGTAAATGCTAATGCATCCTAAAGAATCTCCAACAAGGATTACGGGAGGGTTCAGCAATACTCACTACTGTAATGTAGTGTTTGGTTATTCAGAACACCACACTCTCAGAGCAGCACAGCGTACTCTGGGCACTCTGTCTGGGGAGACGGAGCAGCACAATGCCGAGTGGAATGAATGTGTGATTAACTTTATGGTTCATTAATTCATGTAGAAAAAGAACACTCTGTTTCTTTAAACAACCGCGCTCGCAATTTAGTGTAGGCCTACGTTATTGGTGCAGGAAGTGGGGATTGTTTTGGTGACAGCGCGCTTACACTTTACAACTTGCCCATTTTATGATGAGTTGGACTAAATATTGTGTGACCGTCCACTGTTTTTCCATTTGGAAGGAGATGAGTTGAATTCTGTTGACAGCAGCTTGAATGTGGAGGTAATCAATGAATAATGTAATGACTAAAAATAAACGCGTGGGGGCCTTTGACCTTGCAGTGTCATGAAGGCAGTAACGAAATCTGAACATAAGTGGTCAACTGGAGAAGCATGATAGACACAGGTGTGAACGGAGATGTGTCTCGGATCACCTAAACCAAGTTAATACCAGGTGTAAATAGGCTTCAGGATGTTTGCTAATGCAGTAGCTGACAGGAAGTAAAAAGGACCAAAGCTGTTGCCCTAGCAACAAAAGAACAATGAAAAGGTCTATATATATACCTGAGCTGCAACAATTAGTTGATTAATTGATTAGTCAACAACAGAAAATGACTAAAATTATTTCCTATGTGTGTCAGTGTGAGGCCGCCTCTGGCAGACTCCTGGTATTCTCTGTCCTACCTCTACTTCTCTCTCCTGGGTACACTGGTCACAATCGTGTCTGGTCTGCTGCTGAGCATGATCACAGGTGGGACATTATTTCCTAACCACTACTTTTACTGCAAGACACGTCCGTGCTTGTACGGTCTTAATGTTCCTTATTATAATCTTAACAAAACATAAACGCTTACTGTTTGGGAATGTATGTATCTATTCCTTTTCAGGTGGATGCAAGCAAGAAAAACTTAACCCTGATCTGTTTGTGAAGAAGAGTGACCTGATCTGCTTCAGCTCCAGGAGTGAATCAGATGTAGGAGTCTGACTGGATTATTACATACAGATTTATATCGATTTTGCCATATGTAATTAATGGTTTGTTCTCAACCCACCACAGGTATCAGACGTCACAGAAAAGGCTGCGACAGACATTTATCTGGAAGCTGACAGGTCAACAGTCCCAGACCATGAAGTGATGAGTAAAGATGTTGAAAAAGCCACCAAGCTGTGATGCTGCGACATCAATATACTGTATCGTGGAGAGACCTTTTTTTTCAACGGACATAAATGACAAGCTGCGATTATTGCGATGCTGCATCCATGTGATGTATATGATCTGCAAAAACAAATAACTTTAACTCCATTTCCAGTATGTGCTCATTTGTGTTGATATGGGTTATGATGTGTTGTTCCCCACTGTCACAGAGCTGCTCCCGTTTCCTGTTAAGCACCGATGTTGCAACTTTACTTTTATTGCCCTTTATTTAATTGTTCTCCCTGATAGCAGCTGATAACTTCATATTGTCTGCCTGAACACTGTCCTTCATTTAATGCTGACAGAGACAGGCACATTGGAATATGGTTTGATATTTCACAATATGTATGATGGCATTACTGTATTTGTTTAACACCTGGTTATTTTTATATGAAAATTGTGCACTCTTTATGAACAGTCTGTGTAAATTAGTCACAAATTCTACTTGATAATAAACATTTTGTACAAAGTTCAACTGTGTTGACTGAAAACACATGTACACAAGCATACACATTCAGCACAGAGCACCTCAGTGAGTGTATGACCTTGGTATGTATGTGAGAGAATGGAGGACAGTGAAGCCAAGAAAAATACATTTACAGTGCAGTTAATACTTTGGCAACACAGCTCCCTGAGCTTCTTCTCCGGGCTGTAAAACTGAGCGAGAAGGGAGGGACGGAGAGTGAGAGAGAGAGATTGAGCTTTGGTCTCTGTAACAACTGTGTCCTTTGTATCCTTGGCAACATACAATAGAGGAAGTTTACAAAGAACTGACCTGCCCACTTTCACCTGCCACCATGCCAGCAAATCAACACTAGCTGTTCCAGGTTTATAGGAAGTGGAGAGTCAGCCGTGACATGGAGGCAGACGCACTGCCAGCAAGGTGAACTGAGCCACTGTTTTCACTGACACAAACAATCAAGGTGAGTCTGATCTGTCGTTTACTTCTTAATCAAGGTTTGGACTTGAGTCAAGTTTTCACATGAGAAGGAGATTAGGAATGTTTCCATTGTGGTGACTACAAAAGGTCAGAACAGGGGGGGTAATTATGTGTTTTCTTATGGCGTACACAGTCACGTTGAGTGTGCCTGAAGCCACTTCCTGAAGCAGATCTGTTAATGTAATACATATGACCTACTTAGGATACTGTTTTCACTGCATGGACTTTAGATGTTAACTGAATATTACTAAGATAAGGGAAACAAAGATTTTACATTGTTTACTAAAGTGTTTTTCAGCCTATGTTTTGTTTCCCAGTACAGGACTTAACGGCCATGGCTACCATCTTTGCCACACCGGCTTGTTACCTTCTGGCCCTCTCTTTTGTTGCGGCACAAACAAATTTGACTGTCACACCTACAATAACAACCCCTGGCTTAAACCTGACACACACAACGGTAACTTCATCTAACTCTACTGTTCATGTAACTGTTATCTCAAACGTGACTGAGAACACGACTCCTTTAACCAACACGACCCGGGACAATGGAACATTCACCACGACTACAGCAGCTGCGACTGCGAGCACAGGCCATCTCCAGACATCTCAGCCAACAACCATCATGACTCCACTAACAAACAGTACATCACAGATGACCACAACAGCTGGCACTCCAACATCTACTGCATTGACAGTGCCAACAATGCAGACCACAGCAGGTTACATAAGCACACCTGATACTACAGTCATTACGACTGCAAATTCATCTCACACTGTCAAAACCACCTCAGATTCAATGTACAGAACCACAGACGGTAAGCACCAGGCGTCAGTTTTATTACACATTTAACTGTAAGTTGATATTTAACTCATGTGAATGACTTTAATTTGTTCCTTTTTCCTGTGTTATTAGGTTTGGGACTAAACATGTCAGACAAGAACATGACTATTCTCTTTAGTGTTGTACTTGGAGTGTTTGCTCTGGCACTGGTTGGGTTCATGTTTCACAGATGCAAACACAAAATCCAGTACTTCCATCAACCTCTTCACAACACTGATGACACGGGTAAGGACTCCCACTTTATCACACAATTAATACAAACTATTATGTCTGTTATTAGCAGTCAAAAAATCCCTTTTTAATTTTCAGCAGATACGTTTGAGGCAGACGATGACACACTCGTAATTTCTGGAGGACTTTATGACGGCCATCCAATATACGACAACGTGCCGCCAGACCCACCAGACCAATCTCAATTCCGCCTTGAGTTCCTTCATTAAGAAGAGAGTTCCTGCAGTCTGAGATGTCACCTTTGGTACTTGACAGGATGGACTAAATCAATTTTCCTTATCCACTCATTCATACAATTCCAAGACTGAAATTTCACCCCTGTGAAATTTAACTTCTTGATGTGAGGCTGATGGCAAGGAGGAAGGGAGTATTATGATGGGCAGAACATTCAAACAAGGACAATGCTGATCCATTTAAACATTAGGTTTACTTACATCGCTGTTGATACCAGGATACATAAATATATTAAATATATTAAGACTGGAATACAGAACTACAGTTTCCCCACACCAACAACATACACTTGTGCAGAATGAATGAAATTTCATGCGAACACCACTAAAGATGAATTATTCAACACAACTGTGCTACAACAAACTGAATACTTTCAAAGCACCTGAAAGCATAGAGCGTGACTCTACAGTAACTTAAAACCTTGAACATCCAAACCCAAGACCAACGTGCTAAAATGTAGGAAAATGAACACCTAAATCATTCTGTTGTTAAAAATACTGATAATCTGATGCGTAACGATTTTTTCTTTGCATTTTAAGAAAAAAAAGGCCTGTTATTACTGTAAATACTGTCAAATTTATCTCTAACATTGCTATATATGTCTGTGAAGAAAGTAAGAATTTGAACAGCTAAATCAATCTGTTGTCAACAATACTGTCGAACTGATCCACATCAATTGTTTCTATGCATGTGAAGAAAAAATGGCCTGTTATTACTGTAAATACTGTCTGACTGATCCCTAACAGTGCTACATGTCTGTGAACAAAGAATATGAACACCTAAATCATTCTGTTGTCAACAATACTGTTTAACTGATTCATAACGATTCCTTCTTTGCATGTCAAGAAATAAAATTAGCCTGTTTTTATGCATACTGTCCATTTGTTCACTAACAGTGCTACATGTGCATGAGAAGAAAACTGGAATTTAAATACCTGAACATCAATAATACTATTACGATTACGGTTTATGTGACCTGACCCGTAACAGCTCTACTTATCCAAATATTTTCTCACTGGTAGTCTTCTTTTTTTTGTCACAGCCGGTAACAGCAGTCCAACCAGCATCTCTCATCCTTTTCACTGCAGCTAACTTTATGGAGTTCCCTGGTGATTTATGAGTGACAGGGCTCTTGATCTAAAAACAAAATTCAATCCAATTTTTTTTTTTTTAAATAAAAATGACCAAGTATTATATCTTCTTTGACCATGTATACAATGCACACATATATTTTTTCAGATAGCATGTTACCTTTTTGTAGATGTTGAGTTTGTAGTGTGAAGTGGAAAAATTAGGTGCCTGCGTACTTGCAAAGGTCTGACAAAAAGAGAAACAGAAGGCCAAATCAGCTCTTGGCAATCTTATCTGATACTGTGTTCTTCTGACACATAAAGTATCAACCGATAAACAAACTCACCAAGAGATCATTTTGATCAGAGCTGTCAGACTTGGGGTCAAGCTCTATTGTGCTCTTCTTCCACTGCGCTGCCTTTTCAGCAGCAGGAGGTGTCCTTATTCTGTAGGACTGTGAGGGAATTCAAAGAGTAAATGTCAGCAGAAGTCATTAATATTTTTATTTAATTCAGAAAATGTCAAGATGATACTGTATATTACTTTGATCTGTGAGGTTCTGCCAACCCTGTTTGTGACATGTCTTGGGGTTTTCAGTTCTTCATTGTGAATTTCCTAAGATACAAAGTAAATGTCAGTCTGAGTTATTATGAATTTTACAGTAGCAGACAATTACCTTGACTCAAACTCTTGTGCTTATCATCAAAGCCAATCAACATTTACTCTATAAATAGATTAAAGTGTTATTTACATTGGTCTTTGCTGTTGTTCCATGTGATGTTGTGATAGATTCAGTGTCTTGAATCCATTCTCCATCCTCCTTAACCACAGAAAAAATAAAATATTATCACAGTTAAATTTAAGTCTTGGCACTATCATTCAGTAATAGTCAGGTCCATTCTGAATGGACCACAAATGACTCGCTAACATGTCAAGTTTGTAAAAAAAACCCCACTGTTTTGAAGTACAGTGAATTTTTGGCACAGAGCTTTTATTACGAAGTGCAGTTTCGAAGTGCATACACAAGTATGACGCTGATTGTATTACACTGTGTGGACTTTAAACTAATGACTACGGAAAAATCTGGATCCCGTGGCTGGATCAGTAAGGAACCACTGACATACTATACCATACGATATACTTTATTGTCCCATAGGGAAATTTGTCTTGGACTCATATGCGCTGCATACAATAAAAACATCGATAAACAGTACAGTAAACATAACAACAAATAACACATACCCCCTCCCCAGTGCAGTACAGTAGGCTATAAATAACATCAGATAACACATACCCCCCCACGCCCAAACATATTGCACATGTCCCATAGAAACATAGGAAACACCATGGAGCTATTTCACAATCCTACTACCTCAAGCAGCATAATTTAGGAGTTGGATTGAGATTGGTACAAGTGACCTTTTAAAACGGTTGGAGTGCAAATACCGAGAATGACATTTCTACTACAAATGTATGCACATAAAAATACACAACCTTTGCATGCACAGTGAAACACCTTCCACTCACAATTAAGGTGAAAAATGGACAGTATGTCTGGACTAAAAGGGCTGTTGAAAGATTATAAATTGGTGTCCCTGATGGACTCAGTGGGACTAACAGGTGGGTTAATACACAGTGTACACAGTATTTTCACTAGACCTGTCTTCAACATGAAAACGCATTCAAATTCCAGTAATAATTATGCAAGAATGCAAAATAAGTTAGAGGTGCAGTCAGAGATTCTAATCCAATACACTTTTTGCCAATACTTAGTAAATATCTCCTCACGCCCTACTGTTCATTCTGTGTGTGCACTTAAAAAACATGTCCCTGGCTCTGTAAACAGGAAACAAAGTGGCAGAGAACCAACAGCACACACTATTTCAGCCAATCAGCAGTAGGGGGTGTTAATGCTCATACACAGGATAGGGGAAAGGCCATAGATGTATAAGGAGAAAGACAGTGGGAGTGAGAGAAACTGTAAAACGAAGCTTCTGGGGTGAGGTGTACGATTTTGAGTGTTAAATTCAAATATTAACAATCCTTCAACAGAATCACAGATTCCACCTTTAAGACAACTTGATTGGATTTCTAGCCTCAACAGTTATGAAAATGCCTGAAATAAAACAATTTTCTCAATCTCTTAAAAAAAACATGT